GACCCATGCTTGTTTAAATTCAAGGTATTCATGGATCTACAAACCATAGGGAGAGGAGATCCATATATGCCAGAAGGAAGAAGTTGGCTGAATTTATCGAACTTTGAAAAGGGAGTTAATTTTCACGCTCTTGTTTATAATTGGATTTTGTTGTGTTATACGCTTCAAAAGTCCACAGATTTAACTTTAAATCAGTTTATTCTGGTCGAAGTTAGTTTACGTTTCAGATCTGAGTCTATTAATAAAAAAAAAAAAAATTATAACATAATAGCCACATATATCTATCTTTGTGCACTCATTAGCTTTTATCACTGATTTACAAAGGTTATATATATATATTTGAAGTTGTATTTAACTTTTCCTGGTTCGTTTTAAATAAAATGCCTATTAAAAGAAACCGCTGCGGAAGGGCTATGTGCCAGTTTCCAGTGGATGAGGGAATGCAGTGTGATAACTGCAAGAGATGGTTTCACAGTATGTGCACGAACCTTACTCCAGCAGCATACAAACGCTGCTGCAAACCTCTAGCGAACTGGTTATGCAACGACTGCTGTAGTACAACTAAACTCCGTATTACAGAAGCCATAGCTACTCTTAGTGGGGCTTTAAAGCTCATGGACTGCAAGCGTCCTCCACCACAGAAGAATACCGACTATTGCTCAGATAGCGATGACGTGACTAGCGTCATTGACAAAACAGCACATGTCCCAGATGCGACCTTGCCAATAAGTGAGTGCTCTACAGCACAGAAGAACACCCACCATATTACAGACACCCAGGTCGCCCCCACGATACTGGATGAGCCCTCCAGTGACAGTAATGGAAAGACTGCCGTGAAGAAGAGGCGTACTAGGGGTCGAAAACCTGCAGCCCCAGTCGCCCAGGGACTGGCGGAACAAGCCTCATCCACACCGGTGAGCAGCAGACAGACGAACCCCACTAAGATTAGCGAGGAGGACGCCAATGAATGGCGCACCGTAGTCTCTCGCAAAAAGCGAGATAAGGATAACACTTCGGCCACACCGCCCAAGAAGGATAGAAACACACTTACGCCTCAGGGCAAGAAAGTAACGGAAAGCAAACCCGATCTCTCTGATAGGTCTCTCATTCTCCACAAAGTGGAGGAGTCACTGGCTCTCGACCCTAAGACCAGATTCGAGCATGACCTTAACTTGGTCAAGCCCCTTTTAGACAAGCTACTGCCACAAACAGTATCAGGCATTACTATACACAGCGTATACAGAATAGGTCAAAAGCCTGACCCTACAGTAAGTGAACCTGTACGTCTCCTCAAAGTCGTACTAAACTCTAAAGCGGAGAGGGACGCTATTCTAAGCAACTCTCATATTCTCAAAGGATCAGGGATATATGTCCGCGCTGACTTAAGCCTGGCAGACCGTGTCAAAAGACAGGCTGCGGCACTAGAATTAAGTGAGCGACGCCGGAACGGTGAGAAGAACCTTAAGATTAAGGGTTTTCGGGTTGTCCGAGTTCGCAGTTTAATGATCCCGAAACCTCTGTGGGTGGGCCGGGGAAGCACCAATCTGAATTAACAGTCTGCTACACAAACGCCCGCAGCCTGTTAAATAAAAGGACTGAGCTGGCAAACATGATAGAAACCGGAAACCCGGATGTAATTATTATCACAGAGACATGGCTCACACCCGATGTCACTGACAACGAAGTTAACCTGCCAAACTTCGAAGTGCACAGGGTAGACCGACTAAACCGCAAAGGAGGGGGCGTAGTCATCTACCTCAAGAAAGGCTTAACCGTGCGTAGTATCGAAGCACTCGCCCACGAAAGTGAGTCGTGCGAACTTCTACGCTGCAGACTTAAATGCATAGGCCAAGACATTGACCTCATTGCTGTGTACCGCAGTCCTGACTGCAGTGCAGACGACTTCCTAATAGAGAAGCTAGGCTCCTGGACTTCAAAATGTCGAAGTCTCGTAGTCGGTGACTTCAACGCCCCAACAGTTGACTGGTCGAGCCTAACAACTCCATCTTCAGTCAACTCCTTTGACCATAAACTGCTAGAATCTAGTATATCGCTAGCCCTAGTCCAACATATCATTAAGCCCACGCGCTATGACTCACAGCACTCCTCATCAACTCTGGACCTAGTGTTCTCACACGGTGAGGATGTGGATCTCATACAACATCTTCCTCCGTTAGGAAGAAGTGACCATGCTGTGCTCACTTTCAAGTTCACAGCAACGGCAGCAAGGGCCAAAACCCCAGCTCGACCAAACGTTTGGAAAGCTGACATAAATGCGATCGTCTCAGCAGCCAACTCAGTAAACTGGTACATCAATCCAGAGTCCCAAGTAGAAGCCGCATGGAACCAATTTAAGCAACTTTACGCCCAAGTAACTGTACCCTTCATCCCTTGGTCTGTTCCAAAGGGTCGGAAACATTCCCCCCCTTGGATAAACCGGGAGATTCGTAAGTTACTCAGACGTAAACGCAAATGTTGGAACCTGTTTGCAACACTTGAGACTTCTGAGACCAGGGAATTATATACTACTGCTAGAAATAAAGCTATCGCAGAAATCCGCCAATCAAGGATGAAGTTCGAGACACACCTGGCCCAAAATGCAAAGGCACAACCTAAGAAAATTTTCTCGTACTTGAATTTCAGGAATAAAACACCCAATGGTGTCCCAAACCTGATTATTGACAAAGATACAATCGAAGAAGATCAAGAAAAAGCAGAAGCAATGGCAAACTACTTCTCCCAAGTCTTCACTCAGGAGTCATCACTGCCTATAGGATCAGCTCTGGCTGCATCAGAAGAACATGGGATAGATTCCGTTGACATCGACCAAGGCATCGTGCTCAACTTCTTAATGAAACTAGATGCAGGAAAATCAATGGGTCCTGACAGTCTTCATCCAAGGCTTCTCAAGGAGCTATCAGCCCACATAGCCGGCCCCTTGACCACGATCTTCAAGCTATCTCTCCAAAATGGAGTGTTGCCACGTGATTGGAAAGACGCCATAGTAACCCCCATACACAAAGGAGGATCAAGACAAAGCCCTTCAAATTACAGGCCTATCAGTCTCACCAGCACTTTAATCAAGACACTGGAAAGAATTATCAAGAAAAGCATCATGGCTTATCTGGAAAATAGCAGCTTGTTATCTGGAGCACAGCATGGCTTCCGGAGGAACCTCTCATGCCTGTCAAATCTCCTGACTGCAAGAGAAAGCTGGGTTAAATCAAAGGATGACAGAAGACCCGTTGACGTCGTCTTCATAGACTTCAGTAAAGCCTTTGATAAAGTACCTCACAAAAGACTACTCATGAAATTGGAAAGTCTTGGTATCAAAGGCAGACTACTAGACTGGCTCAGGGAATTCCTCATAGATAGGAGGCAGAGGGTTAGGATCAACTCAAAACTCTCCTCCTGGACAGCAGTAAGTAGCGGAGTGCCACAAGGCACGGTTCTCGGTCCTCTCCTTTTTATTCTGTATATCAATGAGTTACCTCTGCTCACCGACTCCCCTATGGTCCTATACGCAGATGACTTAAAAATTTGGAGGGAGCTGAAGGGCAACAGTGATACGTCCACCTTGCAAGACGACCTCAACAAACTGTCGGAGTGGTCTGTTGAATGGATGCTCCCGATCAACGTGGCAAAATGTGCAACCATGCGCATTGGACAAGCAAGCACGAGCTCCTACGAACTAGAGGGAATAACACTTCCATCAGTTCAGACTCACTTGGACTTAGGTGTCATAGTTAGCCACGACTTAAAAACTACAGCACACTGTCGCGCGGTGGCTGCACGTAGTTTCAGGTCCTTATGGGCGATTCGCAGAGCCTTTACAAGAATTACCAGAGATATGTTCACCTCCTTATACACATCTCTGGTTAGGTCAAGACTGGAAAACTGCATCCAGGCCGCCAGTCCGTGTCTAAAAGGGGATTCACACATTCTAGAAAGTGTTCAAAGGAAGGCAACACGTATGGTTCACGGCATAGCTAACTTATCATACGAGGAAAGACTAGATAGTTTAAATCTCTTCTCACTGTCATACCGTAGGCAGAGAGGAGATTTAATCACAATGTTTAAAATTTTAAATAATGACTACGGACCTGACCTATTCTCTCTTTTCCTTCCCACCAGGTCGGAACACCTTAGAGGACATAGCAGGAGAGTTCAAAAGCCAAGGAGAAATCATATTGCTGTTGAGTACTGGTTCTCACATCGAGTCATAAACTCTTGGAACCGACTCCCAGAAGAAGTGGTGTCTGCAACCTCAATTGATTCGTTCAAGAAGGGTTTGGACAACCACAGAAATCTACTAGAAAAGGATTAACATAGGCTGCAAGCCTTCTATCCTCAACCAATAAATCTGAAATCTGAATCTGAATTCACTTCTGTAGGAATAGTTGGTAGTGGTGGAACCATGGTGCAACGCATCTCAAATACTTTTTTACTAATTTGAAATCCATTTCTCATCTATACTCCATATTCTTATGTCAGGTGAACTAAACTCACGCCTCAAATAAGAATGTAGTGTGTGTGAATATGAAATCTTAATTTTTCACCAGCTGTTGAAACGGGATAGATTAAGCTCCAATTTGTAAGCAATACAGATATGTTTGTCAAAAAGTGAGACTTAGTGCAGATATTTTGAAAGTTTTGAACTAGCGTACCCTGCACCCACATGTACGCTCAAAGCTTTTGAAACTCTTTCTTCTCGATGTTTCTGCACTTGTATTTAGAAATTTGCTGCATGTGTTCGCAAGCCCCCAACAAATTATTTCCAGCAGATTCCACTAGTAAAAGTGGTTTTATTGAGGTATTTGGCTAGTTTTTCTTCAGATTTATCAAACAAACTATTAAAGCATTGTAACAGAAAGTTTTCACTAATTCCATGCTAATCTATCTGCTTTACCAAATTTAGTGAATGACGGTAACAAAAGCGCCGTCCAAAGTCTTTACTTATAAATATCACAAAAGAAAGTGCCTTAATTTCTGGAACTCACTATTAGATTGAAGCTATTGATTGATCAAAGTATTCCAAATACCATTTACATGCGTTTAACTACCCTCAGCTTGGTGTTGCTAAGATTGTGTCGACAAACATTCCATTTGTGATGTGAAAAAACAAATAATTTTCATATCAGATTCTCCCGCAGAAAGAGGTTTTTGGGATCTTACATTTTCAAAAACAATAAACAATACTAAAAAAAGACTCTATAAGGTTTTGGAATACTATAGTCCAATAGTTAAGGCACTTTTTCAAGTATCACGGATGACCTTGAGCATTGCTTTGGGAACGGTGATGCAGCTATGTTGGTTGATTTTTAACTGTAAGTGATTTTTACCGTCATTTTTTGTGCGAAGATGTTTTCACCGAATTCAACCTGTTTTTCTGACCCAAACTTTTCACGGAGGATCTTTTTCTTCCTCTTATCAGGGGCTTTGCGACGTATTCCCTTAAAATATTATTAGGAATAACTGACCTGTTTTCCCTGTACCAAATGTTGACTTTGTCCAATAATATTACTATGTCGTAATCGATATGGTTTTTCTTCATGCCAATGGGTGCACTTATGACTTGAAATGACTATTTCTACTCTTTGTGCAACCGTACATAACTGTTTTATGCAGTAGGTGCGCACCTACAACATGTATATATATATATATATATATATATTGTTTACAGACAATTTGGTTTGTTGTTATTCACACACTTAGTGTCATAATGTGTTAAGCACCAACACAAATGAATGCGTTAGCACTGTAAAACATTAAGCTTTCATAAAAATGACAGTAATGCTTCTAAGTGTTATTCATTTCATATATTTGTACAAACTTGATTTCGGATTTCGTCCCTGTGTTAATCGTTTTCTTTTAAGTACCAGTGTTCATCTTATTCCTTTTTGAAAGGGTTGGCAGACATAACTACTTTTGAGAGTCGATTCTGGGAGCTGATTACTTGGTCATATTACTAGTACGCCACAGTGATATGGTTTCTCCCTGGCTTTTGAACTCTATTGCTATGTCGTCTGAGACGTTCGGACATGGTGTAAAAGCAAAAGGGTAGACAAGTTAGCCCCTCAGTCAGATGCAGATTGTAAGGATAGAAGGCTCTTGTTGTCCATGTTAATCCTTGCGATATATACCTCTGCAGAGATCCAGTTTCTCTTTGAAAGTGTTCAGCGATGGAGATGTTACCACTGAATCAAGTAAGGAGTTCCAGTCGTTGACCACTCTGTGAGAGAATTTAAATTCCACACGTATTTTATTCGATCTTGGTCTCAGCATCTTGTGGTGAACTCGTAAATGCATTCTAGAGGGAGAGAAAAGGTTTGAAAGTTCACTCCCTAAATCACCCTTTAATATACGGTATGCCGAAATTTCACTCCGTTACATTCACCCCACCTAATTCTGTAACCATTCTTATGGCCAACAAATTTTCATCAATGTATAAGCTTTTGGAAGTAACGTTTAGAAATTGTTTTCAAGTCTTCGAAGCCGGTGGCACACGAAAACAACACTTATTGAATGAGATTTTTTCACTAAGCACAGTATTGTGTTAATGCGTTTAATTATGCAGATAGACAGATGACTAATGGGGAAGTGAAATTGGGAAGGATAGGTTCCACGGACTCATGATAAAGCATTCGTTGAATAACCTTATTATTATTATTATTATTATTATTATTATTGTATCCTTTAGTTCCTAGAGGAACATAGGGCTTCAGCTGCGCACCTCCATTGACTTCGGTTTTCTGACAACTTTTTCAACCTGCTCCAGGTCTGTCCACATGCTTTCATCTCCTCCTCGCATGACCTCCTCCAAGTCACCCTTGGACGACCAACTCGCCGCCTCCCTTTCGGGTTCCAATCGAGGGCTTGTCTAGTGATGTCACTTGATGGTTTCCTCAGCGTATGGCCAATCCATCTCCATTTCTTTCTGCCTATTTGTTTCACAATCGGTTCCTGATTGGTTCGCTCCCAGAGATCCCTGTTGCTGATCTTTTCTGGCCATCTGATCTTGAGTATTGAGCGGAGACAGTTGTTAATGAGGGTTTGAAGTTTGTTTGAGATGCTCTTTATGACTCGCCAAGTCTCTGATCCGTATAGTAGCACTGACTTCACATTGGAGTTGAAAATCCGGATCTTATTTTTGATGCTGATTGCTGTTGACCTCCACACAGATTTGAGAGTAATGAAAGCTTGTCTTGCTTTTCCGATTCTGGCTTTGATGTCCTCGTCAGTTCCGCCTGTAGTTGAGACGATGCTTCCCAGGTAGGTGAAGGAGGTTGTTTCTTTCAGGTTCTTCCCATTTATGCTTATTGTGGTCTGTTGGTGTTGTTGATGTTGGCTAGGAATCTTCATTATCTCTGTTTTATCTATGTTCACGTGAAGTCCTATCTTTGATGCTTCTTCTGCCAACTTGTTACTTTTCACTTGCATATCTTCCAGTTTATGGGAAATCAGACATATATCATCGGCGAAATCCAGATCCTCCAAGTCTTTTGTGTCAGTCCATTTTATGCCTGTTCCCTCGTTGGTTGCCGTTGTCTGTCGCATTATCCAATCAATTGCAATCAGGAAGATCATTGGTGATAGTAGACAGCCTTGCCTCACTCCCGTCCTCACTTCGAAGGCTTCCGTAAGTTTCCCGTTGTGGATTACTTGGCATGCAGCATTGTCGTATAACTGTTGGATGAGGTGTATAATTGTCGATGGGACCCCGTAGTAGCGAAGTAGTTTCCAAATGACCTCTCGATCGACGCTGTCGAAGGCCTTTTCAAAGTCGATGAAGTTGAGATAGAGAGGTGACTGCCATTCCAAGCTTTGTTCAATGATGATCCGTAGAGTGGCGATTTGATCAATACATGATTTGTTTCTCCTGAATCCAGCCTGTTCCGGACGAAGTTTTTCATCTAGGGCTTGTTTGATTCTCTCCAGGATGATGCGACTTAGTATCTTGCTTGGAATGGACAGAAGCATAATTCCACGCCAGTTTTTACATTGACTTAAGTCTCCTTTCTTTGGAAGTTTGAATAAGTAACTGTTCTTCCAATCCTCGGGTACTTTGCCCTCTTTCCACACCTTCTCCAGTAGTGGTGTCATCAAGTCCGCTGTTGTCTCTGGGTCTATTTTCAAAGCCTCTGCTGGGATTCCATCTGGTCCCGGTGTTTTCCCAGTTTTAAGCATCTTGATTGCATTCAGGACTTCTGATTTCGTCGGGGGGTCAGTGTTCACTGGTAGTTCTGCTTCCGTTGTTGGTATTGCTGGTCGTGTTGTAGGTGGCGGACGATTTAGAAGTCTTTTGAAGTGTTCAACCCAGTGCTTTCTCTGTTCCACCTCTTTGGTGATTGACTTTCCATTGTCGTCCTTTATTGGCTTAATCTGTGTCGAACGTTTGCCCGAAAGGTTCCTAGTTGTTTGGTAGAGTGTGGCGAGGTCTCCTTTGCCTGCAGCTTGTTCTGCTTCGTTTGCCATGGTTTCATAGTATTTTCTTTTGTCTTCCCTGGCACTTTTCTTCACTCTTTTGTTCAGTGTATTGTAGCTTGCATTCAGCTCCTGTTTTTGTTGCTCGTCCGTGCGCTGGATAATCTTTTGCTTCACTGTCCTTCTCTCTTCTATTAGTTTCCAAGTGTCCGTAGAGAACCAGTGTTTGTCCTGTCTCTTTTTTCTGCCTAGAATTTCTATGCAGGTTTGGCTCCACACCGTTTTCAAGTTGTTCCAGTGCTTTTCAACGCCGACCTCTTCGCTGGTGTTGATTTGTGTCTCGGCTTTGTCCTTTATGCTTGCAATGAAGATGTCCTTTGTAGCCTGGTCCTTCAGCTTTTGAGTGTTGAACTTGGCTTGTGGTCTATCTGCAGCTCCTGATTCCCTGAAAGCTTTTAATTTGATTTGGATTGTCCCTTGTACGAGATAGTGGTCTGAGCCAACGTCTGCTCCTCTTCTTGCTTTTGTGTCCAGTAGGCTGCGCCTCCACTTCCTTGAGATTGAGATGAAGTCGATTTGGTTTTTGGTTTGCCCGTCTGGTGACACCCATGTAGCCTTGTGGATATCTTTGTGTTTGTATACGCTTCCACCAATCACCAGTTCGTTGAAGGCGCAGAAGTCGACGAAGAGTTCTCCATTTTCATTCATTTCTCCTAGAGCTTCTCTACCCATGATGAGTTCCCTTCCCGTATTGTCTGGTCCCAGTTTGGCGTTCATGTCTCCCATTAGTATTTTCATGTCGCCAGCTGGAGTATTGTCCATTGTTGCCTGTAGTTGCCTGTAGAATTCTTCTTTCTTTTCGAGGTCTGCGTTGTTTGTGGGTGCATAACATTGTATGATTGACATTTTCCTTCCTTTGGAGTTGAATAACCTTATGCAATAACTTTAAATTTGACAGGTAGTGTTTTCAGTTTCCATGTGGTACGGTCTTGGGGCCAAGTTAAACTTTAAGCACCACTAACTACCAATGTAGTGCGACCACACTAACATCCTTGAAACACTCACTGAGCAAGTTAGTGAAACCTAGCAAATAAAGTCATCATCAATAAAATATGCTCATCAAAGTGTTATGCTATCAAATGGAATTTCTAGCAAGTTCCACCTTAGGTTTGAGAAAGATTAAATTACGGCTTAGGCCAAGGACAAGTTAGGGTTGTGTTAACCTAATAAAGGCGACATTAGAGTTAGTTCAGGCATATTTTCACGTTAGGCCAAGTTTTAGGAAAGATTAGGCTTGTTGTTATGGTTAGAAGACCCAAATAATTACATACATAGAATATGGTTAAATTACGCTGTTGGTATAAGAATAGAACTTGTGCACTGTGGTAGAGTATAATTCCACTGTGGGTAAGATTTATTCTGATAAAGTCTCACAGCGTTATATAGTCATATTTACTGATGACGTTTCGGCAACAGTTTATTGACCAGTAAATGTGACTGCATAACACTGTGACACTTCATCAAAATTAATTTTGCGCACAATGAAATTATACTCTATTGATACTCCAACCTAAAATTGAGAGCTATTTTTATCAAATGCAAGAGGAAGCTATCCTATCCAGCACTTTTGTACAGTTTTTATGCACTTTTTCATTTATATATTTGTTCCATACATAAAAGTGCCTCCTTCATATGATTGGTGCGTTCGAGGTCATTCGCCAGTTAGTAGTTGGTGATGCTTAAAGTTTAACTTTGCCGATCTTAAAAACACCACTCATCTGAATGCAATACTTGCTA